TTATCTATATTGGTGCGGCGGAGGGAAACGGTCAGCCGCCGTATTGAAGTAGATGTGGGGGGGTTTGACAGAGCTCTTACTGAACCCTTAACGGGGGGGGTTACCAGGAGCTGTTGATGGTTGAATCCGTTTTGTTCATGTTGGCATAGGAATTTGCGTGTTCACCCGTGTTAGTGTTTCTCTTTATGTTCATATTTACACTCTGTGTGCACACAAATATATTCTTTCGTTCGCCTTAATGTGCATGTCTCAGTTTTGCATGTTTTTTTGATTCGGTGCCTATGCTTGTGCCTTTAGAATCCGTTGGTTAAGCGGGTGCTTTCGATATTTGATACGAACGGAGATGGCCGAGTATCGTTCATAGAATTTTTGGTAGGTCTGTCGAAGTTAGCTGCTGGGACAGACGAAATGCAGAAGACGAAATTTGCCTTCGACGTGTACGACATAAACAAAGACGGCCACATCAGTAACGGGGAGCTCTTTGCAGTGATGAAGATGATGGTTGGGAACAACTTGAATGATCAGCAGGTAGGGGAAACACACCATTAAGTGAACCACCAGGAAACCGGCTGTTTCCGTCGCATACCATCAATAAATAAAACCTCNAAACACACCATTAAGTGAACCACCAGGAAACCGGCTGTTTCCGTCGCATACCATCAATAAATAAAACCTCCTTCAGCTGCTTTCAATGTTATGCCTTTCTGTAGCCGATTGTATGGGGTACATCCAGCTGTGCAAATATGAGAAATGTTAGCTGGGGACTGTTTTTGTACTGTTTGTTTGGAGGGACTTTGTGATGCGGGCGGCTCACGTAGATTCGTAATTACTATCTTCGATTTCCTGAACCGGGTTGTAATACCATGCAGTTGATGTGTATTGTTGCGTTGGTTGCTGCAGCTGCAGCAGCTGGTGGACAGGACGATCGTGCAGGCAGACAAAGATGGGGACGGGATGATTTCCTTTGAGGAATTCAGGGAGGTGGGCAGAAGTTCGCATGCGGTAGCAGCACAACAGTAGTGACATCAACAACTGCAACAGCCAAATACTTGTTCAACTGGGGTAAGTTCACGTGGAAAGATGGTACAAAAGGGTGTGGATTAAATGCGCTGCAGATGGTTTCGCACATCGATATCGCGGACAAGCTGCGAGTTGACGTTTGAGATGTCTCGAGCATGCATTTCGCTTGTATCGTGGATGCCCCGGCCGGTGTTCGTCGTGCTACGGTTGAGGCTTCCCCGGGTAGAAGCTGCTTCCAGTGCGACATATGCACAGTCAGCCTGCCGACGACGGCAGGAGCCTCCTCTACTCAGCTCTCCACGGTGCGGCCCCCAGGCACAGCAGATGCTCCATGGGAAAAGGGCTAAGACCACAGGAGTTGCGAATAGATGACACATTCATCTGCAGACAAACGGGTTTGGGCTTAGCGTGGCCTAAGCCTCCGCAGGTACGGCGAGTGCTTTGGGGTCCAAGGCGAACGTCTGCACCACAGGGAAGGGCGGATCACCATCTGGAGGCTCCTGAATCATCGACAGAGTGCTCCTGCAGCAAAGAACGAGGCCACAGAGGAACCTACGCAGCGGGAGTCGCGATCTCGCCACATCCCTTGGGCCTGTCCTGCTGCGGCTGCTGCTGTTGCAGCTGCCATTCTTTCATTCGAGAGGGACTTAGCTTGGTGTCTCACTCGAAAGCAACGAAAGGGCTTGAAGGAGAAGGCCGACGGGCTTGCAGGCGCTGCGGCAGTAAAGGGGATATATATATATATATATATATATATATATATATATATATATATATATATATATATATATATTATATGTACATTGCTCTCTCCACAAAAGGGGGTCACTGCTGCAACGGACAACAGCATATCGTCTTTTCGCGTGATCTGTGCCGCGCCACTGCAGCAAACTGCACAGCTTACCAACTCGCATTGCAGCATGTCGGCGAAGTCAGGATCCCCCCTTGCGTCTTCTTCAGTTTGGATCTCGAGATGTGCCACGCCGTCTATAGCCTCGCGAGACAGTTGCCCCGTGAAGTACCGCAGGCGCAGTTGCGGCGCCCAGGCTCGTTTGTCTTTGTTTGAGACGCATGCTGAAGGGGGGTTTCTCTTCTTAAGTGCGTCTTCCAGATGACGAGCAGTGAGCTGGTGCAGGTGGCGGTGGTGCTGCACACCAGTTCACAGCGTACAAAAGGTCCAACCTTACTTAAAGAATGAATTTCTCCGTAGCGGCGGACATATTAACGTTCAAGGAGAAACCTTTTCGAATCCAGTGCACATCAGTTCGTAGTGCGGGCTAGCTAGGTCATACCAGCCAGGTGGCTAGCTGTGTTTGCTTCGTGGCTACAGACACGGACAATGACCCACTGTAATAAAATGGTTGACAAATCGAAGAGAGGAGAGCTGCACGCACAAAAAACAAAACCGACACCGCAGAACGCACGTTTCACACGTCAAGCCGTCGCTTGGAAATGAAAAGCCTGGGCTCGGGCACAAGCACTCTCACTCCCTTACGGGTAGTTCTATGTACGCGTGTGTGTTGGTGCTTCATTTATGCATCTGGAGTCCCTAATGAAGCTGTACACTGACGCGTTCTGCAGCCATCTTCCACTCCGCGCGCACACGTCGTAGGGAGTATAGACAAAGAAGTACGAGGCACGTATTCGCGACCCAGTGAGAAAGAAGTTTCTCCGTCGTTTGCTCGGGTGGAAGAAGGCGATCTGACGTGCAGACATTGGCACAAAGTCAACATCGTGAACAGCACGAGGTACCATTTGAACTAAAGCGACTCTTGTACACTGTGCAGTCAGTGCACTCGGCACTTGCTATGGCTTCTGTGGGACGTCGGCAAAAGTATCGGCTCCATTTGACCCCTCAGTGGGTGTGTCGGCAATCGTACTTACACCAGTCAGGGTTATCCGCAGGGATACCCTTGCATACAATAACTCGTGGTGTTTTTGTCTGCGCCTCTGCATCATTCGTCCGCGTCTCTGCATCATCTCCCAGTGGATTTTGAGGCGCCAACACGAACAAAGAGGTCACTTCCCACTCTCCCACGCCCTCGGACCGCTCCCTGCCTTCTGTACCTCTTGACGCAAAGAGCAGCTGAAATAATTCCCACGCGTCGCCGATAGTCTGCAGCAGCCACTGCTTCAAGATGTATGGCCTGCTCCACCACGCCCCTTCTTCCTCCTCCTGCCCGGTGCAACAACAGCAAAAACACTGACAGATTTTCCTTCTTGTATGGAGCAGCCTCCCCATGTGGAGGCTTCTCAGCTGTTGTTCTTTTCTGAGCCCTGTTTGTGCATCTAAATGTTGGATATGAAGTGGAAATGGCACAGCAATCAACATGACACCTATCTGCGGAATGCGTGACATGTCAGCCGAGATGACTATCCGTTGTGTTCGTTCCCGCAGTTAAGGGAACCGTCTACATTCATAGGCTTTATACGCTTATGGTTTCAGGGCTTTGTGATAGTGATAAGTACGGTGAATTTCTCCACAAGGTCCTCCTCGCTGTAGCCGACGCGGCGTGCGCAGACAAAAGCCTGCACGGCGCACAAGCAGTGGAGGCAGTGGCGTGCGGCCGCTTGTATCTGGCGAGAGCAATTCACCCTTCCGGTGCAGCACGAGAGAGGAGCCTTTGCGCTGATAATGAAACAGCTACTCACCCGCGTACAACCCTTGGGGCCCCTGAGTAGCAGCACGAGCCTTTTCCACGGAGCAAATGTCTCGGTGTGTTCCTCGACAGCTTTCACCTCCAATGGCGTCCCCAGATACTCCACCACTGCCTCGTTGGACTGCACGCAAAACCAGCACACTGCACTTCTGCATGAAGATTTGTGTGCACGCAGCACATTCAGGTTGAGACAGTGGCCGTCTGGACTGTACCGTAGCACGTTGGACACAGCCGCGGCAAATCAGGCGGAACTGCCACACACATTAGCTGTCGACGCGGATTCAACGTGACCGCCAAGAGTAATAACACAAAAAAGTTATGCATATTTTCATATTTGATGTGCGTGATGCCGTGGCAACCAAAGTAACGGTTTTAGGGGAATCGGCCACGCATTTAGCTTCTCTCGAACGCGGTGCAGCAGTTCTGTTCGACAGAAGCTTTGTCAGTGAACACAATTGAGGAAGCTGAGAGATATCAGGGAAAACAGCCGTAGAAGCGGTAACTGGCGAACCGACAGAGCGACACACAGGGAGGCAGAAGGCTGAGAAGGCATATAAGCTACAAAACGAACCTGCAGCATCGACTTCGTTTGTTCCAAGTAAGGGTGACGTGATTCTCGCGTAGCGGAGCGCCTGCAAGGCAAACAGGCAGTACGTAGAGGCCGTATGACGCACTTCACAACCCCTGACTGGCTTTTTCTTGCAGATGTCTGCTGCTAAAACCTTCAAATTTTGATGTTTACCACGCGTTGAAAGCAGCAGCGCCCGCAAAGACGCCGCCCCAGCCCAAAGATATGAGGACAAGTATCCAATCTTCTCTCTGCAGGCTGCGGAGGCGGAAGGCCAGACGGCTGCAGCCTTGTGTGATCCGAGTTAGGCCTCTAGACGGCAGATGGACGCCTCTTTGGGGAACATATGGCCTGTGGGGTACCCCTTCAGCAGTTGCTGAGAGGTTTGAGAGGAATCGGGGAGTTTGGCCTGCAGCTCTCTGGTGACTATCTGCAGACCAGCCTACCCCGCTGCACAGAGCGCTTCGGCGATGGGGATAGCAGATGTCCTCAGCAATGTGCATATAGGGTTTTTCAAGTTGACTGCAAATGTATAGTCCACGCCGCAAGCCATGTTGGGGCCTCCACAACAACCGCAGTGCTTGGGGGGGGCCTCGACCCCCGCACCCCCGGGCGGAGGCGAAGAACGACATGTCGATCAAATCCTGGAACTATGGGCTCAGCCTTCAGCCAACGTCATCACAACAGAGGCATAGATACACTACTTTCTCCTACGCGACGTCTGAAGGTGTGGAAGATGCCGCGAAAAGCTTCCGCAGCGTCGACAGCTCCGACATTTCGACAGTGGGTTACGTTTACAACTAACAAGTCACAGTATAAAAGAATATGAGGGTTATATATCTATATTTAATCTTTCTCTGCCTTCTCCGACGCGAAGGAATGAGGAAGCCTCGAGGGAACCCAACAAGGCACTGAACGGGACAGCGTGAGCCGACGGAAGCCCGTACACCTGTCAACTGTAATGTATCGACCTCGTGGAGCGCAAAATAAACGAATCCAAAACTTATTTTTGATTCCAGTAAAACTTGTTGGGGAATGGTTCCGCAGACAACAATGGTAGCCCAGAGGACTGCCGCCGCCGACGGGCCCAGCAGCCCCACGCTCTGGTCGGCATCTGCATATCTCCCGAGAGAAATTACAGTTTACGTCCTCAGGAATTATGAAGGCAATACGTAAGCATTGTGGAACTGCATATCTCATCGGCAACCTTTTTCTGTTCCCGTGAGGGCCCCCGCAACGCCCGCCCCGGCTTGCCCGCTTCTCCTGCCTCACCCAGGGCAAGGCTGCGATCAAGTGACCTCCCCACGAACTCTTTAGTATAATGCGTATCGGTGTTATGGCCTAACTCATTGGTGTTATGGTTGGTTGGTCCTCCGCCCCCCACGCGGTGGGCAGGCGGCTTTGCCTAAGGCGCTGCAGGCGGGCCCTGTTGGTCTTTTCGTGCCTGGTGCCATGCATTTTGTTTTGCACGGGAGCGACAGTCCTATGGCCTGCTTCAAATACGTCGAATGCCTCCTGCCGCCCTGGCGCAAGACCTGCAGCAGCAATTCTCCCTCCTCTAGCACCCGATGATGCTGCGGCCGTCTCCGCGGTGGCGACCTTTGTTCAGTGGGGTTTCCCTGCAGCTCCTTCAGCAAACGCCCAGCCCTCATTGACCCGCCCGTACAACGTGGCTGAGAAGATGCAAATTGTGGGGTTACTCCCGGCTGTAGGAAGAAGTCGACCCGGGGGCGCCTGGGCCCCCACGACTTGGCACGGCCGTCCTCGGCCCACGTCACGCAAATCGACGTCGGAGCCCTTCGCTGTGCGGCTTGTCCAGCCAAATATCTACGTAGGTGTTTCTCCTGAAACACCTCTTTATTTCTTCTTGTGGCCTAGCCCAGCGAATACACTACAGACCAGTGTTGCGAATATCAAGGGGCCAGGTGGATGTGCCTCTTCAAGAACTGCTATTCCTTCATTTGTACATATGGGTGAATGTGGTGACGCCGCTAAGACTTTGTTGTCACCCCCTTCTGAGGTACAAAGCCGTGTAAAATGGGCTGTATCGGGCGCCTGCGCGCCGTGTTTGTGGTGTGTGTGACGCTGCAGGGCGTTTACAAATACCTAATTGAATCACGAAGAGTGGAGCTGAAGCAACAGGAAAAGAAACTCAAGGGTGGCCGCAAGGCTGTGGTGTATGAGCTTCGGCCCGTGAGCATCTGGAGGCGGTTCCTCAACAACCTTCTCTGAAGTGAAGTGCTGCATGCTTTTTCCTCTTTGCCTGGGCAGAGGTTATGTGGCCTGTGAATGGGACATGCTTTGTCAAAACTTTATACCCGCCGTGCCTCAGTCGAAGGACCCCAACAGCTAGACGCACTATTAGAATGCCGGCATCTTTTTCGTCGCTGCCGCTTGCCGCAGCAGCTCCCCAGCAGATACCTGCAGCTTAAGTGTTGCAACGAGAAGGGGCGGCACTTTCCGCAACATATATAGAGTGAGAGAGAGAACATTTTGTGACGGGGGTGGGGGGTGTATGTGTGAAGTGTTGGTGTGTGGGGATGTGTCGGGGGCACAGTACGTTTCTGTTCGTGCTTGACTCTAGTAGCTGATTTTATATTGTTGCATAACCGGAAGCCATACCCATAGGAGAGTCCAGCTCTCAGTGGCAAGTGATGATGTGTTAGCAGCAAGCGGTACCACGTCACTAACCCGTTGATCTTGTGGGAGGGATATCCACCGGGGTGTGCACACAGACAGCGAAGTGTATTCGCTTTGTTTTTACCCGTCCTGGGTGTACTACTTGGCGTTGCCGCCCAGCCCATGCGTACTGCAACAGCGGTTTAGTGCTCGCGGTGTTGCGGTGCATTCAAGTAGCCTATTATCGTATCTTGTCAGCAGCGCTGGCGTCCACACCGGCAGCTAAGGGTTGCTGAGAGTTCCAACTTTTAACGTAAATTCTACCTTCTTGTCTAATGCAATTATGCATTAGCAACACTCCCCGTGCCGTCTGAGCTGAGTGCCACCGGCGGAGCCGCCGTCTTAACAAGGCTGCTGATGAGTTTCAGCATACCGGCAGACTGTATTTCTCTCCTTCCTCTACGGATACTTTGAATATTTATTTTAAAAACTCTGGTTTCTGGGTACTATTTGTGTGAGCCTCACTGGAGGCTGGGGAGCTCTTCGTTCGACTGCTGCCGACACGGCGGGGCTGGGCTGGCCTCATCGGCCACGTTAAAGCTCGAGTATTTCGTCGGAACTCTCTCCGATGCTCTTTAACATAATTTTGTTTTGGCAGTAACACGCAACTGCAGTGACTGACACACCGCAGGCTGCTGCCTTCTCTCCAGCGTGCCCCGACAGTCAAGACAAAGGAGCCCAGGAGAGGCCCACTGGCACGGTACCGACTCCTGAGCCAACTAAACTCTCTTCTCACCGCGAATTGTGCAACAACGTGTTGCTTTCTACAGTTAGAAGGAATTGAAGTGAGGAGCAGCCTGCGGAGGAGGGTGTGTGGCCTCATTGAGTCCCCTCTGAACGCCGTCGGCTGCGTGTGGAGCGGGCGCCCCCAACTTAAGAGTACGTAACCACAGAAATGGGGCCCCCAGTCTCCTCTTCCCAAAATCCTAAAGCCGTGCGAGTTGCAGCCGCCAAAGCTGCATCACGGGGGCGCCGGTCTGCCCTTCGGCGGTTGGCCAGTGTCGCTAGCTCAAAAGTCGCTTGGCTTATTGTCTTGCTGGTTGCTCTCTACTTGGGCTTTTTCTATCGTCCACGAATTCTGAGCTACACATACGAAGTACTCGGGGGGCCTGGGCTGGATCCTTTATTTGCTGCTCCTACTCGCTACTTCCGCGTGGCGATTCGAAACGACCAAGGCCGGGAGCTGCCCACTGGATTCAGAAAAGAAAATGTTCGTCTTACTTGGAGCATTGCGCCTTCTGTGTCGGGGCGCTCGGGGCAACCAGTTGCTTCAGAAGTGTACGACTTAGGCGGAGCTGAATTTCAAGTGGCTTTTCGGGTCAAGGAAGGCGTGCCAAGTGGCCACGAGCTGCGCCTCAGAATCAGCTATGCTGACAAACAAAGCCGCATTTCTATTCAACCTCTCGATATTTCAATACCAGGACCCCTACATGAGCCCAGCTGCAATGCGCCCGTCCAGCCTTCTGTCTGGGCTCAGGCCATGCGCTGCCCTCGCACCTTCCCTCAATTGGAAGAGGTGATTCCTTGCATGCGCACATGAGCTCGCTGGACCATTGCACTACTTTGAGCAGTTAGGTTGTCGAATGTTGATATTTATTAGCCGTAAAGCCCTACACTGGAGTACGCTGTTGCGGGGTGGTCTATATTTGAAGCCGCCTAATATGTTCCAGCGTTTCCACACCTGGATTCTTTGGCTGTGCTCAGCTGTGATCAGTAGCAAACGTTGTTAGTTCTTGATTTGCACGCGTGTTTATGAAATCCAAGTTGCGGTCAGTCTGCTCCGCTGCATTAGTGGGACAGGGACACTACGCTGGGCTCCCCCCTTCCCACGTGCAAGGCGGGCATGTCCGCCGGAACCTGTGCCGCTGGTGTCGTCAAAGGATGTGTGGTTGTAGATGCTGTGAATTTCGGAGCATCTGCCGTCCGTCGACTTCCTATATGGAGGCTTTTAGTCTGCAGCGGATGGATGGTTGAATTGCAGTGTGACGCGGAGGATTTCTCGCTTGTGCACTACAGTTCTTTCTCACTCTCCTGTGTGTTGTCTGCAGGATTTGAAAAGCTTTGAGACTATTGATCTAGCGAAGCTACGGCTTGCTATCCCCAAACTACTCGAGAGAAGCTCTGCGACTTCTCTGTTGCACTATGTTGTCAAAGACAACCAAGTGTTCAGAAAATCCCACGGTCCTTTTCCAGCTTTTTCATATTTTGCCGATATGATTCTTCATCAATTAGCAGCCACCGTCAAACTACCTGGTTAGTGGGCGCAACTTCGGAGGAACTTCGAGCGATCAGACACCCGTGGTTGGCGCTGCCTGCCGGCGAAGCCCATACTACGTTAGGAGTTCAGAGTGCTTCTCCTGATGGGTGTTGTGATGTATAAGCCCCTCATCACAGCGATCCTAGCTCTACTCTCATAGAGGAGTCCGCTGCGCAGAGGCGCATTCACCTTGCTATCTGTAGGGTTTCTCTGGAGGGGCTCCTGACTTGTGGACTGCTCCTGTTCCGGTGCCTGCAGACATTGAATTTCTATTGAATGTGGGCGACTGGCCTCTTGTGGCGAAGTCGTGGGGTGAGGGGAGAGTTCCGGTCTTTTCGTGGTGCGGCTCCACCGACTCGTTTGACATGGTCCTTCCTCAGTGGGACGTTTCACGCTCTACAGTCTTGGGTAATGCTGAGTCAAACCCAGATCTTCTGGCCTCTCAGGTGCGCAGACGAGGAAGGAGGATACTCAGTGACGAAAAACGGCAGCAAGCGTGCTAGCGTCACCTTGCTTCGTCTACAGTGGGAACGGCCTACACGACCACTGGCCACACACTTACCAGGGGTCCCATCGTTTGCACTGCCAGTGCTGCCGCCTTTTGCTATTGCGGATTTTACAGAAAGACGCTTTGCGCTTTGGCTGCCCCTCGTACTGCTGCTTTCGGTTTGGTTTGTGTCTCGTGTAGGGCTGGAGCCTGCGTGCATGGGAATCTAAAGACCCCCGAGCGGCATTTCGGGGGCGTGATAGCAATCCCGTTCGCGTGAAGCTGGCACAGTTGTCTGTACTCCATCCAAGTCTTCTGGACGTAGCTATCACCAGCTGGGAGAACGACGAGAATTTTGAAGCTGAAGAACAGCTCGGAGGAGGCAGCAAGAAGTTTATCAAGCTCTCCGAGTTCTCTAAGTACAAATACATTCTTGAGCTTGACGGCACAGTAGCTGCCTACAGAAATCCTTACCTGCTTGCCAGTAAGGTATCCATGCTCGTCGTTGTTTCTATCCCGTTGGTTGCTTTCTCTAGCAAAAGCGTTGATATCGGCAGATGTCACCTAAGCAGCAGGGTTGCTTCAGTAGTTTCAAAGAGGGGCTGAGCTTAGCGCGGCTGATTTCCGGGCTCTTATTTCTTTCCCTCAGGTGGAAGTTTGCTGCTGAAACAGGACAGCATATATTACGAGTGGTATCAAAGGGAGCTTTCCCCGTGGCAACATTTCGTACCATTCGACGGCTCCGGCGAAGACTTGCTTTCGAAGCTGCAGTGGGCAAAAGAGCATGATGAGGAGGCAAGACGAATAGCAACCAACGGTACGGCCCTTCTCTTAAATTGGTCATTTGCGAAATTTGCTCGCCGTCGCAATCTCATGAAGCATACGTAGGTGCCAGTAGAAGGATCGTAGGCCTGTACGCAACAGATAGCTCACAAGAGTGGAAGTTTGTACATGTGAGACAACAAATAACCGCCATCCCCGCGGGGTGGCAGTGCACTGCCCGCGACTTGCTAGGTGCCCTGTTGAAATTCGAGGCCGTAAGATGAAAGGCAGTCAATCATTGTGTCTTTCCTTTCGGACAGCTCAACAATACGCAAGGGCCAATCTCCTGCCAGAGCGCGTCTTGTGCTTTTACTATAAAGCGCTAGAGAGCTATGCATCGAGACAAATAGGAATCCCTACTGTTAAGGAGGACATGATATGGGTCCCCCCCTCCCAGCTGCCAAAATACAATACATGCGGGTCGCCGGACCCTCTGTCACGGTTGGGTGACTATCCAGTAGTGCCTCTTTACCCGACCTCAGTAGAGACATTTCTGTCCAAGGCAGACAAAGTGAGACCCATTCGACAAGTTGACAGGTTCCTGCTTTCCTGTGCCCCTTGTATTTTGTGCTTCTTGCTGTGCGATAGGCCCTAATGGAACACTTTGAGGCAAGCGATTATGGCATCGCCTGACTCAACAAAGTTGCATATTTTGTTTCCTTCCTTCAGGACACAGTCGTTGTTGTCCACTCGGCGTTCTGCAATAAAAGCGCACGCATTTTGCCTGAACTTTTGGTCATGGCGCGAATGTACAAAGCTGCTGGTGCTGATCTGGTCTTCGCATCTGCCGAAACGTTTACGGCACAGTATCCAGTCAAGTGGATCCAAGCCACCAACGGGCCAAAACTTTTCTTCTTAAAAGCAGGATCCAGCACTCCGGAACAACTTGATGGACAGCTCACTGTACGGGCAGCCGTATCGTTTATCAACTCAAAACTTCCAAATGCGGGACACCATATTACTGCTCCTGCCGAAAGTGAACAAATTGTTTCGGATCCCATTCCAGAGAAGAGCAATGGACCAGTGAAACAGATTGTCGCCAATACGTTCGACAAGCTCGTGTTGGGTTCGGACAAGGTATAAGGGAGCATTCGTTAAATGTCCAAGAAATCGTGGCAGCCTCCCTCAACACTCTCCAGCTTCTTCTCAGGCGGGTAGGGCTTTCACTGAGGCCTGAGCCGCTGAATTGATAAATGTGTCATTTATTGCGGTGCAGGACGTGCTTCTAATGGTGTCAGCCCCATGGTGTGGCTACTGCAAAAAGATAAGGCCAGCGTTTTTCCGCTTTGCCCGAGCAGCTGCCGCGAGCCCGCCAGCAGCCGCAGTGCTGGACGTTGCAAAGATGAATGGCCCAACAAATGAAATTAGACACCCGGGTTTCAGTGTTACTCACTACCCAACAATTTGGTTTGTCCGCAAGGGGGAAACCCAGCCCGTAGTCTTCTCTGGTAGGCCCACAGAGGAGGGCTTCTTAGCGTTTGTAAAGAAACATGCCACAAAACCTGCTGAGTTGGAAGGGATTGTCGTAACGCCAAAGGCTTCCAGTGGTTCAAGGCCTTCGATGAAGGACCTCCTAAACCAGACTGGTTCCCCCATCCTCAGCATCGATTCCGACAGCTTCTACACCGACCTGCTCGACAGTGACAAGGTACTGCTGGCACCCTAGATCACAGCCCCTTACGTACATCGTTTCTGCGCGCACCATCCTCCTCGCACCCCAATCTACACTCCACACAGTTTTCATGACCACAATCCCAATCAGACATTCAAGTGAACAAACAGTGACAAGGTACTGCTGGCGCCCTAGATCACATGCTCTTACGTACATCGTTTCAAACCACGCACAAAACACCAGACCACGCACAGACACATGCATGGTGCCGTGCACGATTGTTCCGTGCAGGACGTCCTGCTGCTCGTGTACGCCCCGTGGTGCGGACACTGCAAGAAGCTGGAGCCGATTTACGAAGAATTTG